CCCCCCCCCCCCCCCCCCCCCCCCCCCCCCCCCCCCCCCCCCCCCCCCCCCCCCCCCCCCCCCCCCCCCCCCCCCCCCCCCCCCCCCCCCCCCCCCCCCCCCCCCCCCCCCCCCCCCCCCCCCCCCCCCCCCCCCCCCCCCCCCCCCCCCCCCCCCCCCCCCCCCCCCCCCCCCCCCCCCCCCCCCCCCCCCCCCCCCCCCCCCCCCCCCCCCCCCCCCCCCCCCCCCCCCCCCCCCCCCCCCCCCCCCCCCCCCCCCCCCCCCCCCCCCCCCCCCCCCCCCCCCCCCCCCCCCCCCCCCCCCCCCCCCCCCCCCCCCCCCCCCCCCCCCCCCCCCCCCCCCCCCCCCCCCCCCCCCCCCCCCCCCCCCCCCCCCCCCCCCCCCCCCCCCCCCCCCCCCCCCCCCCCCCCCCCCCCCCCCCCCCCCCCCCCCCCCCCCCCCCCCCCCCCCCCCCCCCCCCCCCCCCCCCCCCCCCCCCCCCCCCCCCCCCCCCCCCCCCCCCCCCCCCCCCCCCCCCCCCCCCCCCCCCCCCCCCCCCCCCCCCCCCCCCCCCCCCCCCCCCCCCCCCCCCCCCCCCCCCCCCCCCCCCCCCCCCCCCCCCCCCCCCCCCCCCCCCCCCCCCCCCCCCCCCCCCCCCCCCCCCCCCCCCCCCCCCCCCCCCCCCCCCCCCCCCCCCCCCCCCCCCCCCCCCCCCCCCCCCCCCCCCCCCCCCCCCCCCCCCCCCCCCCCCCCCCCCCCCCCCCCCCCCCCCCCCCCCCCCCCCCCCCCCCCCCCCCCCCCCCCCCCCCCCCCCCCCCCCCCCCCCCCCCCCCCCCCCCCCCCCCCCCCCCCCCCCCCCCCCCCCCCCCCCCCCCCCCCCCCCCCCCCCCCCCCCCCCCCCCCCCCCCCCCCCCCCCCCCCCCCCCCCCCCCCCCCCCCCCCCCCCCCCCCCCCCCCCCCCCCCCCCCCCCCCCCCCCCCCCCCCCCCCCCCCCCCCCCCCCCCCCCCCCCCCCCCCCCCCCCCCCCCCCCCCCCCCCCCCCCCCCCCCCCCCCCCCCCCCCCCCCCCCCCCCCCCCCCCCCCCCCCCCCCCCCCCCCCCCCCCCCCCCCCCCCCCCCCCCCCCCCCCCCCCCCCCCCCCCCCCCCCCCCCCCCCCCCCCCCCCCCCCCCCCCCCCCCCCCCCCCCCCCCCCCCCCCCCCCCCCCCCCCCCCCCCCCCCCCCCCCCCCCCCCCCCCCCCCCCCCCCCCCCCCCCCCCCCCCCCCCCCCCCCCCCCCCCCCCCCCCCCCCCCCCCCCCCCCCCCCCCCCCCCCCCCCCCCCCCCCCCCCCCCCCCCCCCCCCCCCCCCCCCCCCCCCCCCCCCCCCCCCCCCCCCCCCCCCCCCCCCCCCCCCCCCCCCCCCCCCCCCCCCCCCCCCCCCCCCCCCCCCCCCCCCCCCCCCCCCCCCCCCCCCCCCCCCCCCCCCCCCCCCCCCCCCCCCCCCCCCCCCCCCCCCCCCCCCCCCCCCCCCCCCCCCCCCCCCCCCCCCCCCCCCCCCCCCCCCCCCCCCCCCCCCCCCCCCCCCCCCCCCCCCCCCCCCCCCCCCCCCCCCCCCCCCCCCCCCCCCCCCCCCCCCCCCCCCCCCCCCCCCCCCCCCCCCCCCCCCCCCCCCCCCCCCCCCCCCCCCCCCCCCCCCCCCCCCCCCCCCCCCCCCCCCCCCCCCCCCCCCCCCCCCCCCCCCCCCCCCCCCCCCCCCCCCCCCCCACCCCCCCCCCCCCCCCCCCCCCCCCCCCCCCCCCCCCCCCCCCCCCCCCCCCCCCCCCCCCCCCCCCCCCCCCCCCCCCCCCCCCCCCCCCCCCCCCCCCCCCCCCCCCCCCCCCCCCCCCCCCCCCCCCCCCCCCCCCCCCCCCCCCCCCCCCCCCCCCCCCCCCCCCCCCCCCCCCCCCCCCCCCCCCCCCCCCCCCCCCCCCCCCCCCCCCCCCCCCCCCCCCCCCCCCCCCCCCCCCCCCCCCCCCCCCCCCCCCCCCCCCCCCCCCCCCCCCCCCCCCCCCCCCCCCCCCCCCCCCCCCCCCCCCCCCCCCCCCCCCCCCCCCCCCCCCCCCCCCCCCCCCCCCCCCCCCCCCCCCCCCCCCCCCCCCCCCCCCCCCCCCCCCCCCCCCCCCCCCCCCCCCCCCCCCCCCCCCCCCCCCCCCCCCCCCCCCCCCCCCCCCCCCCCCCCCCCCCCCCCCCCCCCCCCCCCCCCCCCCCCCCCCCCCCCCCCCCCCCCCCCCCCCCCCCCCCCCCCCCCCCCCCCCCCCCCCCCCCCCCCCCCCCCCCCCCCCCCCCCCCCCCCCCCCCCCCCCCCCCCCCCCCCCCCCCCCCCCCCCCCCCCCCCCCCCCCCCCCCCCCCCCCCCCCCCCCCCCCCCCCCCCCCCCCCCCCCCCCCCCCCCCCCCCCCCCCCCCCCCCCCCCCCCCCCCCCCCCCCCCCCCCCCCCCCCCCCCCCCCCCCCCCCCCCCCCCCCCCCCCCCCCCCCCCCCCCCCCCCCCCCCCCCCCCCCCCCCCCCCCCCCCCCCCCCCCCCCCCCCCCCCCCCCCCCCCCCCCCCCCCCCCCCCCCCCCCCCCCCCCCCCCCCCCCCCCCCCCCCCCCCCCCCCCCCCCCCCCCCCCCCCCCCCCCCCCCCCCCCCCCCCCCCCCCCCCCCCCCCCCCCCCCCCCCCCCCCCCCCCCCCCCCCCCCCCCCCCCCCCCCCCCCCCCCCCCCCCCCCCCCCCCCCCCCCCCCCCCCCCCCCCCCCCCCCCCCCCCCCCCCCCCCCCCCCCCCCCCCCCCCCCCCCCCCCCCCCCCCCCCCCCCCCCCCCCCCCCCCCCCCCCCCCCCCCCCCCCCCCCCCCCCCCCCCCCCCCCCCCCCCCCCCCCCCCCCCCCCCCCCCCCCCCCCCCCCCCCCCCCCCCCCCCCCCCCCCCCCCCCCCCCCCCCCCCCCCCCCCCCCCCCCCCCCCCCCCCCCCCCCCCCCCCCCCCCCCCCCCCCCCCCCCCCCCCCCCCCCCCCCCCCCCACCCCCCCCCCCCCCCCCCCCCCCCCCCCCCCCCCCCCCCCCCCCCCCCCCCCCCCCCCCCCCCCCCCCCCCCCCCCCCCCCCCCCCCCCCCCCCCCCCCCCCCCCCCCCCCCCCCCCCCCCCCCCCCCCCCCCCCCCCCCCCCCCCCCCCCCCCCCCCCCCCCCCCCCCCCCCCCCCCCCCCCCCCCCCCCCCCCCCCCCCCCCCCCCCCCCCCCCCCCCCCCCCCCCCCCCCCCCCCCCCCCCCCCCCCCCCCCCCCCCCCCCCCCCCCCCCCCCCCCCCCCCCCCCCCCCCCCCCCCCCCCCCCCCCCCCCCCCCCCCCCCCCCCCCCCCCCCCCCCCCCCCCCCCCCCCCCCCCCCCCCCCCCCCCCCCCCCCCCCCCCCCCCCCCCCCCCCCCCCCCCCCCCCCCCCCCCCCCCCCCCCCCCCCCCCCCCCCCCCCCCCCCCCCCCCCCCCCCCCCCCCCCCCCCCCCCCCCCCCCCCCCCCCCCCCCCCCCCCCCCCCCCCCCCCCCCCCCCCCCCCCCCCCCCCCCCCCCCCCCCCCCCCCCCCCCCCCCCCCCCCCCCCCCCCCCCCCCCCCCCCCCCCCCCCCCCCCCCCCCCCCCCCCCCCCCCCCCCCCCCCCCCCCCCCCCCCCCCCCCCCCCCCCCCCCCCCCCCCCCCCCCCCCCCCCCCCCCCCCCCCCCCCCCCCCCCCCCCCCCCCCCCCCCCCCCCCCCCCCCCCCCCCCCCCCCCCCCCCCCCCCCCCCCCCCCCCCCCCCCCCCCCCCCCCCCCCCCCCCCCCCCCCCCCCCCCCCCCCCCCCCCCCCCCCCCCCCCCCCCCCCCCCCCCCCCCCCCCCCCCCCCCCCCCCCCCCCCCCCCCCCCCCCCCCCCCCCCCCCCCCCCCCCCCCCCCCCCCCCCCCCCCCCCCCCCCCCCCCCCCCCCCCCCCCCCCCCCCCCCCCCCCCCCCCCCCCCCCCCCCCCCCCCCCCCCCCCCCCCCCCCCCCCCCCCCCCCCCCCCCCCCCCCCCCCCCCCCCCCCCCCCCCCCCCCCCCCCCCCCCCCCCCCCCCCCCCCCCCCCCCCCCCCCCCCCCCCCCCCCCCCCCCCCCCCCCCCCCCCCCCCCCCCCCCCCCCCCCCCCCCCCCCCCCCCCCCCCCCCCCCCCCCCCCCCCCCCCCCCCCCCCCCCCCCCCCCCCCCCCCCCCCCCCCCCCCCCCCCCCCCCCCCCCCCCCCCCCCCCCCCCCCCCCCCCCCCCCCCCCCCCCCCCCCCCCCCCCCCCCCCCCCCCCCCCCCCCCCCCCCCCCCCCCCCCCCCCCCCCCCCCCCCCCCCCCCCCCCCCCCCCCCCCCCCCCCCCCCCCCCCCCCCCCCCCCCCCCCCCCCCCCCCCCCCCCCCCCCCCCCCCCCCCCCCCCCCCCCCCCCCCCCCCCCCCCCCCCCCCCCCCCCCCCCCCCCCCCCCCCCCCCCCCCCCCCCCCCCCCCCCCCCCCCCCCCCCCCCCCCCCCCCCCCCCCCCCCCCCCCCCCCCCCCCCCCCCCCCCCCCCCCCCCCCCCCCCCCCCCCCCCCCCCCCCCCCCCCCCCCCCCCCCCCCCCCCCCCCCCCCCCCCCCCCCCCCCCCCCCCCCCCCCCCCCCCCCCCCCCCCCCCCCCCCCCCCCCCCCCCCCCCCCCCCCCCCCCCCCCCCCCCCCCCCCCCCCCCCCCCCCCCCCCCCCCCCCCCCCCCCCCCCCCCCCCCCCCCCCCCCCCCCCCCCCCCCCCCCCCCCCCCCCCCCCCCCCCCCCCCCCCCCCCCCTAAGATTCTGGTTCTTGTGTTAGTTCAATTCAAAAATTTTCATGACTTTGCATGCAGACTACAGTTTTAAAAGAAGCAAAGAGAAAAGGTAAAATGATGAAGACACATTTGATATGAAATGAAAGAACAAGATCAATCTATCTTGTTTTATGTATCCTGTGATATTATAATAGAATAGATTGGTCTTTTTCTTCATTTGATGATCTATGGTTCTTTTTTCCTTTTTTTATCCTTTGTCTTTGCTGTTTATAAAATGACAGTCTTCACACAAGCTATGTCAATCATGTCTTAACACTTGACCTCAGTTTGCTGGGATTAAAGGACAAGTTTTAAGGCTCGAGATTTAACCATATGCAATGGGCCTACAAGAATCATGCAGTGGTACTTGAGAATTGGCAGACAATCAGTTTTATCGTTGTGGGTACCATGCTACTGACCATGCTTCCAAATGGAGAATTTTGCCAAAGCTGCCAAATACAGGGAAGTCAATACTATATATTTGGAGGCACATCTGAAGTTTTTCAAAAATGTTTAATTAGTGTTATGAAACCCTCGAAGAAAAACTTTTGATGTTGGGGCAACCTTGAAAAAGTCAGTTTGACAACTATGTGGGGGCAGCCTTGAAAAAGTCAGTTTGAGAACTAGTTCTACACCATACCACTCTGAGTCCTTCACCACCTTGATCGGCAAACACATAGTTAGGTGGCACCTTAGGGGCGTATACAATGAATGCGGTTATATATTTGCGGGATGCCTCAATACCTTGTTGTTTAATACACAATTCTACACATCTTGCAATGAATTTTGGTGAATTCAAGTTATTCAAAAATAGGGTACTCAGTGCAAAGGTTGGAACCCATATATCATTGTCTACTTCATTGACGACTTGTCTATAGCTTCTCAATTTACCATATCTTTTGAAAGGAAAGAATTGGTGACCATCAGCTGTATCATATGCTCCAGACTTTGTTTTGAGAGCATGGAAGGCATTGGTAAGCTTATCCAGTCTGTCAAATTTCTGTATTTAACATTTGGAGAAGGTTCTCCTGATAGGCATTTATCTGTAGCTAATCTGCTTGATATTGTCTCTTAACGATTTTTGTTGTATCATATTATACAGATTTGGAATTGGTGTATTGAATAGTCCTGCTAGTGGGGTGGTACAGTGAATGCTGAACAACTTGATGTCATGCACCCTTCAGTCCGAAAAACTAAAGTAAAAAAAAAAAAAAGGGGTACACAGTCCCCAAGTTTTAAGTGTATATTTTCAATAATGATGAAGCTATTGGTGTTGTTTGATAATTGTGACATTGTAACCTTCTGCATTGGATGATTTGGAAATTGGATCTTAAAATTCTGGAATGTACTGCTGAAGGTCCCAAAAACATCTAGTTTTGATCTCTTTTGTACGAATATCCGCTCCTCAAGATTTTGCGACATGGAATTCATTGGCATGGCACTTGTCTTCATATAAAATTATCAAGAAAAGATCAATCCTTTCGTGACACGTTAAATTTAAAGATCCTTCTTCACCAACTTGATCTTAGGAGTTGGTTATGAATGTTCCATTTGTTGTTTACATGAAATACATGTATTATGCATATTGCATGTTCTTAAAGTTGTGTTGAATTTGATGTAAGAAAACTCACAAGTTTGAGCATAAAATCCATCCATATCATTTCTGTATGGAGTGAAAAGCCAGCTGTTTTGATGATAAAAGAGTGACCATGATGGTTTAAATACATTGAAACTGCAAAAAATTGAAACATAATGTGAACATGATCATAGAATATGAAATTAAATCATTTTTGGATGTACAAAAACGATCATATATACTAGATAGAAGACAACATGGAATCAGTCTTGAATGCTACCATACTTTTGGCAGCTGTCCTAATCTTTTTGGTCCCTTTTGGGTAATGTTTTGTTGTATTCGACTGATAAATTTATGATGGTAAGAGTTTGAAGATATGAAACAAGAGGCAGAAAAAAAAACAGTAAAATAGAAACAGATTTATACGGTCCAACTTACCAGGCCTACATGTAACAATACAATGCTGCAAAAATTTCGGCAATGGAAGCCTACTTATTTGAGCATTGCAAAAGTTTCATTTTTTGGGAAATGATTATCGTGTTTTGGGATTTCATCGTTGATGACAATACGATCCTAAAACAATGGTTAGACAGATGCGTATCAACTAATTGGCATAAATAGCTCAATATTCAAGCACTGAGTATCAGAATTCACCGCAGGAGCAGACATTTCTTAACCAAACACATTCCCATTCAGGCTAGGCAAACTGGGTTGGCTCTTGGGTAGTGGAACTGTAGTTCAAGCTAAATGGTGAATGAGTGGAGAGCCCTGATTAGGACTTTGTATCCAACAGATCAAAAGCAGACCCACAAAATGAAAGTGACACTAAACCTTATGATTTGTACATTAATGCGTGTGTTAATGAGCGTGTTAGGGTTTTTATTAGCAACTAAACATATTCTCCCACGCAAAGACAGACCTTAATGCTCTTACACTTTTTTGTCGAGACATAAAGGATTCTTTTGTAATTACTGAGGGTGAAAACACCGGCAATGCTACCATTTGAATTACACAAACTGGTTTTGGATGTTACATTTGTTGTAGTGGTCATTTGAAATTTGATACGGATTTGATTTTAATACCCGTTCTGCCTCCCAAATAAGTGAGATAAATGTTTTTGGGGGAAGATGAACTTTGTATGAAGATGGATACTTCCATACAAACAAACCACAGGCAGGGTTGGCAATCAATGTGCAATCAAACCAAACCCACAAACATACATTCAGGAGTTCCTCCTACAGTCACCCACTGGGGGTTGCCGGGACTAATAACATGTAAGTGACACAAACCGTTGTCGTGAAGTAATAACATGAAGTTCAATTCTGTGTCACAAAAGAGCAAAAGTAATGGATTGAAGACTGGGATCCATAGGCCAAATATAATTCCGACAAAGTGAAAACATATGAACCAGCAGTGTTTAACTTAAAAAACTAGGTAGCTGGAAATTAGAAGATGAAAAATCTTGGGGCAAATTATAAATAAAACATATTTTCAGTTGCAATTTGTAAAGTTATTATGATATAGTGGCCTGCAGTTGCTCGAAAAAGCAAAAAACCAAAAAAAAAGGCCTCAAATAAGACCTGTCCAATGTCGTCCATTACAACCTCTTTATCAGTTTCTAACCATAACTTGAACAGTCTGCTGTACTGACAGACCTTCTATTTCTTCCACTATAAACTTCTGTCTCTCTCTTTGTGGCATT